GCTCTCCGCATCTCCCCTTCCCCCACGCAGACATGCAGGGCTGGGCTGGGCTGCACCGGGATACAGCGAGTCACCTCCCCCCGCAGACATGCAGGGCTGGGCTGGGCTGCACCGGGATACCTGGCTCAGCATCACCCCGTCACCCTCCAGATCTGCTATTTGTGCGGCTGCCGATTTGCATTTCAAATCCTCTAGTACAGAGCTGGGGCTGCAGCCTCCTCTGCTCAGTCACCTGGCCCTGCTCCCTGCCAGGCAGGGGGCTCTATCTGCTGGGGCCTCCCCTGGCCCTTCCCCCGTTTCACAAGACACCATCATAAAGATAAGGCTGGGAGCAGGTGTGTCACCTCCTCCCTGGCAGACATGCAGGGCTGGGCTGGGGCGGGGCTGGAGGGGAATAGCATGCTCACCTCATCTTGGGCCTAATCCTGCCAGGTCCTGAGCACCCTCAGCTGCACTGGTGTCCTGCACCTGGCACGATCACTTTTGTAAGACCCGGAAACAAACCAGCATCTGGTACTCAGAGCGCAGCAGCCTAATGACCTGAGCCTGCTGCCGTGGTTTCAGAGGGGGCAGGAACAGAAAGGGTTAGAAAACCTGCCTTAAAGTGATAGGCCCAAGGAGCTCAGTCTATTAAGGGGTGACTGTGTGGGGGGACAGCTCTTCAGTCCAGCAGACAAACGTCTAACAGGAGCCAATGGCTGGAAGCTGAAGCTAGACAAATTGGAAAATGAAGAAGTCTATTTTTAATAGTGGGTAATTACGCATTGGAACAATTTACCAAGGTCGTGGTGGGTTCTCCATCACTGACCATTTTTAAATCAAGACTGGATTATCTCCTAAGCAATCTGCTCTAGGGATTATTGTGGGGAAGTTCCATGGCCTGTGTGATGGAGGAGGTCAGACTAGATGGTCCCTTCTAGCCTTGGAATTGATGAATCTAGGAGCAGTCTCCAAGCCCCCTCAGGAATGGTGGGTGAATTAGCAGCAGATGAACTAGAATCATAGAATCATAGGACTGGAAGGGACCTCAAGAGGTCATGTAGTCCAGTCCCCTGCACTAAAGGCAGGACTACATAATAACTAGTCCATTCCTGACAGGGGTTTGTCCAACATGTTCTTAAACACCTCCAATGACAGAGATTTTACAATCTCCCTAGACCATTTGTCCTGGTGCTTAACCACCCTGATAGGAAGCTTTTCCTAATGTCCAACCTGTCCTCAATGGATAAGGAGAACAACTGATCACCCTCCGCTTTATAACACCCTCTTACGTACTTTGGCACTGCATTTACACAAAGGGGAGCAGAATGCGGGCTCCCTCACCTTTAATATAGAGGGGCAGCCCCCAGAGACTACCCCTCCCAGAAGGCACACCTGGGTCCAAGCAGCATTGCACGCTGGGGCCTCTGCTTTAGGTCTTGTCTGTGGAGGGGGATTTATTTATACTGGTATAACATAACTCCCTGTGTGGACGCTCTTACTCCAGACTTATACCAGGGAGTTATACCAGTATAACTACTGCTGTAATTGGATTGTGCTGGTAAACATCCCCATGCTGAGCAGCCCTTCGTCATGATGAACTCCTATGGCCCGTGTTCTGCAGGAGATCAAACCAGATGATTTAACGGTCCCCATAACCTTAAAATCTCTGAATCTATGAGCTATGCTTTGTGAGGCCTCTTTAGTCGATCTACACTACATAGAATCATAGAACCATAGGGCTAGAAGGGACTGCAAGGGTCAGCTAGTCCAGGAGTTCTCAACCTTCTTCTTTCTGAGCCCCCCACCCCCCAACATGCTATAAGAACTCCACGTGCCAGCTGTGCAACACCAACTGTTTTTCTGCATATAAAAGCCAGGGCTGGCATTAGGGGGCAGCAAGCAGGCCAACTGCCCGGGGCCCCACATCGCAGTGGACCCGGCAAAGCTAAGTTGCTTAGGCTTCAGCCCCGGGTGGCGGGACTCAGGGCCCTGGGCTCCCCACCCCCCAACATGCTATAAGAACTCCACGTGCCAGCTGTGCAACACCAACTGTTTTTCTGCATATAAAAGCCAGGGCTGGCATTAGGGGGCAGCAAGCAGGCCAACTGCCCGGGGCCCCACATCGCAGTGGACCCGGCAAAGCTAAGTTGCTTAGGCTTCAGCCCCGGGTGGCGGGACTCAGGGCCCTGGGCTTCAGCCCTATGTGGTGGGACTTTAGCTTTCTACCCTGGAACCCAGCAAGTCTAACACAGGCCCTACTTGGCAGACTCCCTGAAACCTGCTCGCGGCCCCCAGGGGCCCCGGACCCCTGGTTGAGAACCACTGATCTAGTCTAACCCCCTGCCAGATGCAGAATTTGTTGTGACTAAGCTATTCAAGTCAAGGCCGATGGCTGTCCGGCCTCCTTTTGAAAACCTCCAGTGAAGGAGCTTCCACAACCTCCCGAAATGCACTCATTTCTGCTACAGCCTCACCAACCCCGAACGCTCAGAAATCGTGAGCTCAGTCTCCAAATCAGGAGATTAGCTTTAAAAAACCAACATGATTTCGAAACATAATCCAATGCAGGTTCTTTGTATTGCCTTCTGGTTTCTGAGCTTTTAAGGAGCACGCTGGTCCCATTTTTAAGCTTCTCTCTGCAACCATTAGGGCTAGAAACTCATTTATTTTTCAAGGAAAGCTGAGATTGTCACATAATCAATAGTGTCCAGGAGCTGGGTTTTTAAGTAAAATAGCCGCTATCCACAAGCCTTGCAATGAAGTGGTGAGATTTGGCAACACTGCTATTAACATGAGGTCTTTTAAAGCTAGGCCTGGGCCTCTGCTCTGGGCCAGTGCTGTTTGAAGGAGCTGGCTTCACTTTTGTACTTTAGGTCATTTCTCTTTAGCATCTCCCTGCTGAAGCAAACAAGGATCAGCTCTGTTCTCTTTAGTGATCGCTGCTGCTGAGAGAATCGTGACCGGTGGGGGAGGAATTCCCACTAACAAACATCTCTCTGGCGTCAAGTGCACTAGTGCATGCAGTGAATCTGAAGCATGCTTTGAAGTTACAGATTGACTCTCAACACCCACTTGCTTCCACGCACACAAACCTGGGGAGCATGAACATCATGCAGCCAGGATGTTTGCTTAGGCTCAGAATGAATCAACTTGCCAGGAGGAATGTGCGGCTGTGAGCAAGACACTGACCTGTGGCACAGCTGAGAACAGCAGAGGCCCACAGCTGGTGCAGTAATGGACTCTGAACACATTTCTGATTAAAGTTTAACTTCTCGGACTCCTGCGGCTCCAGGATTCCCTCCGCTGCCTCTGTCCTAGGAAGTGAATGAGAGGGTTTATTAGGAAATGGATTGATTTAGTGTCAGGTGCTGGAAGATACACACACAACCTAGAATCACAAGGAACTACTTCAACGATACCGAGCCAGGTTCATCCCTGGGGTACGACTGAATGCAGCGAAGTGACACCAGGGACGAGGCGTCTCTTCATCTAGAATCCCCAGTGCTGGTTTCAGGTGGGTTTGACTCCAGGCAGTTATAAACAGACAAACCCCAGTACCAGCGAGTCATTCAGCTTCCCACAGCTCCAGTCGACACAGAGCAAATCGGTCTGAGACAGCTCCACCGAATGGGGGTGTACTATGAACGTGCTAAGGTGGGCCAATCAGATTTTCCTGTAAGGCCTTTTATAGACAAAGCCGCATTGCTATGGGGGAGGGACAGCCAGCAAAGTAACATGCTGAGAGAGACTCCTGAAGGATCTGACCTAGCATGGAAAGGAGACAAATCCATACCGTAAGTGGCACACACATGGTGTTTATTGGGCTCGTAAGGAAAGGCTGAGGTTTGCTGCTAATCACCTGCCATGCTTTATTGCTCAGGCAGAAGGCAGAAATGTGCAACAATTACTCCTGGTGAAATTCTGCGCCACTGCACATGCACAGAATTTATGTCCCTCAACGATTTCTTCGCTTTCCCACAGAAAACTGCCTTTCTGAAGGGGAAGCAAAGGAAAGCCACAAGAGCAGTCATGTGACACCTCCCCAGCAGTATGTTTACCCAGGGCAGCCAGCAGAGAGGTAAATCATTGTGAGGCAGGGGGTGGGACTGGGGAAGACACGGCTGGTGACTCCTACCCTGCGCCACGCTCAGCTGCTAGTCCTGGCTGGGCTGGAGAGGATGGGGCTTCCTCTTCCCTTACACAGCATCTGGGGCCGGGTCAGACCCACCCCCAGATTTCTCCCCCAGCTGTAGGAAGCTCTGCAAACTCCTCCCCTGCCCCGCTTCCTACACCCATCGTTCCTCAGCTTCAGGGGGAGGGATCCTTCTACAGGGAGCTGCTCCCCCATCCATCCAACCCCCATACATTCAGGCCCCTTCATACCTGACCCTCCTGCCAAGCCTCACCCCCCCACATTCAGAACCCCCCGATGAGCCCCCCTCCCCCTGCACCTGGACCACCCCAACGAGCCACCCGCACCCGGATCCCCACCCCAATGAGCCCCAACCAGCTTCACCTGGATCCCCACCCCACTGAGCCCCACTCCCCCAGCATCTGGACCCCCCCACTGCACCCCCCACACCCAGACCCCCCTGCCGAGCTCTCTCCCCCCCGCCCCATGCCCAGACACACACCCCTGCTGAGCCCTAACCACCTTCACCTGGACCCCCTGCAGAGTCCCATTACCATTGAACCCAGAACCCCCCAACAAGCTCCTGTGCATCCAGATCCCCCCCACACACCTGGATCCCCCACTGAGCTGCCCACACCCAGATTGCCCCACACAGAACCCTCTCAACCCACATCTGGATCCCCCCATATGAAGCCTTCCACACTTGGATTCTGCCTTGCTGAGTCTGCCTGCCCACACCTGGTGCACCTGGCATGGAGGGGAAGGGCTTGGGGGTGTCTCTAGGGCAGGCCCGGTCCTTGCGCTGTGTCAGGGTTGGGTGCAGCCTCACTGCTGAGTCTGTATTCCAGGGTGCAGCTGCACAGTGATCTCCCACCTCTGTGCAGCCAGTGGTCTGTGCTCCCCAATGCCAGGCTGGAGCCTCCACATTGATTTGACAAATAAAATTTGCAGAATTTTAAAATATTGTGCTCAGAATGTTTATTTTTTTGGTGCAGAATACCCTCAGGAGTAAATAATCAGGATTCCAGGTAGTGCTAAGAAGTACTATAATTAGAACTACTCAAAGCACCCAATGCCCACCCAGTGAAGGACAGCCCAATTTCAATCCTAGTTGTAAAATCATCGCCTTAGGCCAGGTCAGGTTCCCCTTCTCAGGAGCAGTGACGGGCACAGACAGAGCAATGGGTGCTTGGTACCAGTGGCAGTGCTGCCAGGCTCTCATTCTGCACCTCACTTGTCTGTTTAAGAAGGAGGCTGCGTGAATGCAGAGCCCTCAACCAGGAAGGCTGAAGACAGCTTTAAATTGTTACCCCTCTGTGCAATGCTGTACTGGGCCCATCCACAGGTAAAGAGCACGGCAGGCTCTGTGGACAGGCAGTCCCAGTCCCCAGCACGTTCCTAGGGGAGCTTTTCCATAGGCTCTAATGGGAGCTAGATAAAGCCCCAAATCATCAGCTGCTGAAAGTGAAAAAGGGTGTGCTTATGTGTGCAGCACACTTGTGCGAGCGTGTCCCTGGGCATCTGTGGAAATCAGATCCACTGGGTGTGTCCTGGCCACCAGGATTTCTAGGTGCCAAACAGAAGAATTTAGGTCCCCACGTCTGAGCCATAGTGCAGCATGTGAGGCAAAGCCACAGTGGGACATTTTGGGCAAGGGGCATTTTATAGGCATGCAGCTTCTCAGTCCCCTGGCACTATGCCCTGACCAAAAGCAGCACCAGTCAGTCCCCTGCTATCTGGCAATGACGTGCTGCTCTATGTTGCACACGAGCCGTGGTGTGAGACGCTGTGCTCGCAGAATGGGCAGAGTGAGTCAGGAGGGGCCGTGAACATTTGATTACTCACCTCTCGAAGATCTCCTGCTCCGCGTGCTGGGGACAAGGAGAGAGACAATCATAAAAGCTGAAATTCTCATAAGAACATCCAGACCGGGTCAGACCAATGGTCCATCTAGCCCAGTGTCCTGTCCTCTGACAGTGGCCAGTGCCAGGTGCTTCAGAGGGAACGAACAAAACAGGCAGTCGCTGAGTGACCCAGCCCCTGTTGTCATCCCAGCTTCGGGCAGTCAGAGGCTATGGATATCCAGAGCATAGGACTGCAGCCCTGACTATCGTTGTTAATAGCCGTTGATGGACCTATTCTCCAAGAACTTACTTCATTCTTTTTTTAACCCAGTTATAGTTTTGGCCTTCACAGCATCCTCTGGCAAGGAGTTCCACAGGTTGACTGTGCGTTGTGTGAAGAAATGTTTCCTTATGTTTGTTTTAAACCTGCTGCCTGTTAATTTCACTGGGTGACCCCTGGTTCTTGTGTGATGTGAAGAGTAAATAACACTTCCCAGTTCACTTTCTCCACCCCGGTCACGATTAGGCTCTATCAGATCCCTGCTTAGTCGTCTCTTATCTAAGCTGAACAGCCCC